ATTGATTCTATTGTCGCTAAATATGCTCCTTTTATAGGCTCTATGAAATTCCTGGGTAGATGGATTTCTCGTCCGGCTCTCGACACGGTTTACCATTCTTTTGTATGTACTATGTTGTACTATGCTATTGTAATTTATGGAGGTACTTACGATAAACATATTGAGTATCTCTCTTATATACTTTTGTGTTTTTCATTCTCAATAAAGAGAAGAGGAAAAATGAACAATCTAACGACGCAATACATAGTCAAAGTACACAACCACCAAAGAGCAGAGCAAATCGATACGGATAGATAAAACTTCTCAAAGTTACTCTGGTCCTCATGCGAAAAGACTCCACGAAAAAATGGCAAGACTGCTAAAAATAGTTGCCGTAGTAGAGTTTTATCGATAAGGACCAATAATCGGTGAGACGATAATCGTTACCGTTGCATGCCTAGATGGATTCACAAACCGTCTCTTAACCCGCACAGCTTCAAGCAAAAGTTGTGATGTAATTTCTTCTCTAGGTTTTTGATTCAGACAAAGATATTCTGATTAGACGAAGAGTAAAAGCGTTACAGAGTAAACCAGCAAGATTTCAAAGAGCAAATGAAAAAAACAGAATATTTATGTCTTTTGTAGCGTTTACTCATATCTTTTATGGTCCATTGGTTTATCGAGTCCGCAACGTTTTCTACATTCAGCGTTTACTACTGCTATTGCATTCGGTACTTTTGCTTTGATGTGTTCAATTAATTCTTCATTCACCATTTTCCCTCCTCCTAAACTTTCTTTGATTACATCATAGGGTATATTTGAAAATGAACTTTGAAATGTCAGTATCGCACCCGGATTCCCACTATTGAACGACGATAGAATCACGGCCGGTTTACAGTCTAAATTTTGTTGATAATGAATAGAACCACGTGGAATGAGTGTAGCTTGACCTTCTCGAATCTCACTTACGATCAATTTTCCACTTGTAACATCAACAAATGCTACTCTCATTCTTTCACCCTTCACAGCATAAAAGAATTCATCACCAAATGGATGCGAATGTAGTACAATTAGTTGGCATGGATCATAATATTCATATACCACAACCAAATTACGACCATCTAATACTGGAAATGTTTGATGCTAGAGCAAATACACAAAAACCCATGTTGGAATGGTAAGTAGGATTATGGATTATACGGTCTATCATGTGAAAGTCCTTCCCAAAGTTCATTGGTTCATGATCAGATGCCTATGTACAATAAGAGCTTTACTAAATGTTGCTTAACTTACATTTGCCTTAACAATTCGACTGTTTGGAACGTTCAAAACACCAACGTTTCCTCGAACAAAATCAAATGTCCAATTGCTGGATGAACCACTTATAAGCGGGGAAGATGGCGGTGATGTTGGATTCTTAGATTTCGGATTACTGTGATGATGTTTGCCATCATAGCGACAATATATTTCACTGATACATGTACTAAGAAAGAATGCGAAGAAAATTGGTTTCATTGTTTTTTTCAGTCAGCATTCTTCCAGTGAGTAGATGGTTTATATACATAAAAAAAACACATTTGAAATAACAAATGTTAATATGTGTATTTCATTATAGTACACATGGTTTCGATCTGTGTTTAATGCCATACGATTAAGAATCATTCTCGAAACAAAATCCTGCATCTGTTGCCACTCAAGTACTTCGATATGTATGTACAAGAAAAAAATTTCGTCGTTTTTTTCTAAATCAGGAGCAAAAAAATCGGAATTTTGCCCGTAATTCTCAATTTTATTCATCCGAACTCAACTTCTACGCAATAAAAATATCATATTTGGGATCAGCGTCGCAAAGTGAATCGAATGGTG